TTGTCCGGAATTTCGATTATCCGGAATTCCGATTATCCGGAATTCCGATTATCCGGAATTCCGATTATCCGGAATTCCGATTATCCGGAATTCCGATTATCCGGAATTCCGATTATCCGGAATTCCGATTATCCGGAATTCGGATTATCCGGAATTCCGATTATCCGGAATTCGGATTATCCGGAATTCCGATTATCCGGAATTCGGATTATCCGGAATTCGGATTATCCGGAATTCCGATTATCCGGAATTCCGATTATCCGGAATTCCGATTATCCGGAATTCCGATTATCCGGAATTCGGATTATCCGGAATTCCGATTATCCGGAATTCGGATTATCCGGAATTCCGATTATCCGGAATTCGGATTATCCGGAATTCCGATTATCCGGAATTCCGATTATCCGGAATTCCGATTATCCGGAATTCCGATTATCCGGAATTCCGATTATCCGGAATTCCGATTATCCGGAATTCCGATTATCCGGAATTCCGATTATCCGGAATTCCGATTATCCGGAATTCCGATTATCCGGAATTCCGATTATCCGGAATTCCGATTATCCGGAATTCCGATTATCCGGAATTCGGATTATCCGGAATTCCGATTATCCGGAATTCGGATTATCCGGAATTCCGATTATCCGGAATTCGGATTATCCGGAATTCGGATTATCCGGAATTCGGATTATCCGGAATTCCGATTATCCGGAATTCCGATTATCCGGAATACCGATTATCCGGAATTCGGATTATCCGGAATTCGGATTATCCGGAATTCGGATTATCCGGAATTCGGATTATCCGGAATTCGGATTATCCGGAATTCGGATTATCCGGAATTCGGATTATCCGGAATTACGATTATCCGGAATTACGATTATCCGAAATTCCGATTATCCGGAATTCCGATTATCCGAAATTCCGATTATCCGGAATTCCGATTATCCGGAATTCCGATTATCCGGAATTCGGATATCCGGAATTCGGATTATCCGGAATTCGGATATCCGGAATTCGGATTATCCGGAATTCGGATTATCCGGAATTCGGATTATCCGGAATTCGGATTATCCGGAATTCGGATTATCCGGAATTCGGATTACCCGGAATTCGGATTATCCGGAATTCGGATTATCCGGAATTCGGATTATCCGGAATTCGGATTACCCGGAATTCGGATTACCCGGAATTCGGATTATCCGGAATTCGGATTATCCGGAATTCGGATTATCCGGAATTCGGATTATCCGGACTTCGGATTATCCGGACCTCGGATTATCCGGACTTCGGATTATCCGGACTTCGGATTATCCGGACTTTGGATTATCCGGACTTTGGATTATCCGGACTTCGGATTATCCGGACTTCGTATTATCCGGACTTCGTATTATCCGGACTTCGGATTATCCGGAACCAATGGGGTTTATTGTTTTTATAATACTTCATTGTATATAGCATTCAAACAACACATCCTTATACACTTAAAGTATTAATATTTTTGATTCTCTAGAAATTGTCTAGAATATACCTTATTTAGCAAAACAACGTTTGCCGGGTCAGCTAGTATATATATATATATATATATATATATATATATAATCATTAATAATAACGAAACAAATAAAACTATTCATTTTATCTTGATCGACTTAACATCCCAATAAATTTTTGTATATATATCTGCAATTTTTTCTATTATAGGTTATCCGGCGCATCGTGGGTAAATACCTTTTCCCAACAGAAATACTTGTAAGACAAACGAATTTTTTTTTTTATAAAATTAGAAGTTGTGCTAAATAATTGCATTTAATATTAAAAGAATTTTAAAATAGTATGTGAAGTTAACTGATAGAAGGAAAAGTATCAAAACTAAGTTGTCTAATGCTTTTCCATTATTATTAATTAAATTGCATTTTGTAATCACTGATATACAATATAGGAAAATTTGTATAACTTATCACAATTAACTTCAATTTTTATTCTCAAGAATTTCATCATTATCTTTAAATTTTGTTTCAGGTAAATCAATTACCTATTTAGTTTTTAAAATATTAGATTCATCCAAGATTTCACTTTTGTTATCAATTGATTCTGAAAAATCTTCAACCTTTGTTTTAGCCTTGCTTGTATCAGATTTTATCTCTTCAGAATTTTTTTCATTCTTTTCCAAAATTTGTTCAGTATCTTCACTTTTTTTATCTTCATCATTATCACCAAATATTATCTCTTCAGGATCTGGTGCCCTTGGCAAAAATTCACAATCGGGATACATTCTCAAAAATATTTTTCGGGCCTGTAAAGATATGATACATTGCAGAAAATCAATTAACTACTTCTCATATTATAAAACATATTCATAGATGTTTTAACAATAAACAAATGGATACGAAAATATCTTTAAAAGATTATTTGTGTACCTCATCCACTGCATGATCATAATCTAAGTCCAAATCAGGACCACTACATAAAAATATATTTTCTGGAATATTCCATTTTGAAAAATCACACTCTGATGTGTCTGGCATATTAAAATATAAAGACCACAAGCAATTTGGACGATCTTGCTTCAACTTGGCATCGTTATTTGTTTGGTTTTCTTCAACATCTATATTTTCTTTTTCTTGTACTTCATCTTCATTTCCATCAGATTTTTCAGTTTTAATTTCATCAAATTTAGGATTCATTTCAAATAATTTTTCAGCTAGTGGTTGCAAATCAGAATAAGCATCCTTTTGTTGTCGACAGGTCATGTGCACAAGGTCTGAAATAATTAAAATCAAGTTTATAGAAAAAATTCAGGTCTTTAATATGACAAAGAAATTCTTATGTTTAAGTCCGATAATGAAAATTGTTAATTTATTATAAATTTGAAATAATTATAAAATTCACATTGATAAAAAATCCTAAATTAGATAAAATATAAGTGTAAATTCTTAAATTTCTCAAACAAATGTGATTGAAATAATGCATTTAAAACTTACATAGACCATCTGGGCATACATAGGAACTTTTTCCAACTTCCAAAACAACGGTTTCTATGAAGTCTTGTATTGGTGGAATTTTCAGCAATGTCAAGCTTTCATGCTTATCTTCTAACACTGAACAGTCTGTTATAAATATACCTCTTGATAAACCTGGTTTAGATATTTTCTTATTAAATTCCTCTGGAGCAAAACCAGCACCCATGACTAAATTTTGGGATTTCAAATTTTGATTGCCACATACAATTTCCTTGTACTTCATTGCCACTTTTGATTCATTATTTACACTTTCTTCTGACTTATCAATATTATCTTCAAGAATAATATTGCTTGCGGGTCGCTTTAAACAATAAGTTCCACCAAAAACAGCGCACAGCCGGCAAAAATACTGTGAAATTTCACCATTTCCATACATAGGATATAAGAATGGCGTGTTACCATAATATCCAAGACTAGATAAAAATCTTTTTGTACGCATAATTCCTTCATGACATCCAATTTCAGAATTTCCCATTGCTATTGCGTACAAAACATAATGAATCAGATTATCTGTAAGCTTTTTATGCTTTAAGTAACTTAAAAATGTTTTGTCTGCAAAATCTGAAAAATAGATAGACAAAATATTAAATACAGAACAAAATTATGTTGAATTGTCAGTATTTTTTTATGAAATAATGCTAAATACAAACCTTTAAATTCAGTATTTTCATCATCTGGTTTATAAGTAATACAATTATTTAGTAGTTTCATAAGCATTCTCTTCTCAACAACATTGACATTTTTCGAAGCAAAAACATCAGACCGAGAGCAAGGAACTACTGATAATTTAAACTTTTTTTCTAAAGAATTAAAAGATTCACATGGTAATACAGTAAGTACTCTAGTAACTGAACGAAATTCAGCATATCGTGATATATTAGATGTTATCAATAATTGTATTAGATGACCTTTGAAAAATAGCAACTTTGGAGAGAGGTCTATATTGAATTTACGATATTCTTTTAATATTTCGCTTTTCTTCCATTTGTAACTAATTTGATCATCTACATGCCATTTTTGCACAATATTATAAATATCATTGCCATCTTTAAGATGGTATTTGGTATCGTTTTCAACAACACACTTTTTTTCTGCAGTTTTACTCTGTTTTTCTAAATATGTTTGAAGATTATCTAAATTAAAACTAGCCCAATCGCCACCATAATATTCATTGCCATCTAAATGCAATACAGATTTACCAATCCTACTTGCAGCAGCTGCTATTATTGATTCACAGAGCCCTGTTTAGGAAATGTATATTTTAAATATAAAGCATGTAAGTGATTGCATTAAACACAAAATGTGGCGCTTACCAGTTCCAATAATAATTACATCATATTCGTCTGGCAGTTCTTCCATGTTGAATTAAAATAATTGAATAACTTTATTTGAAAATGATTGGCACTTTTTGCAAAACTAATTAAAAGTGAAGCTACATAGCACAACTAGATTTTAAACTTTCTGTTCTGTTGACTTACTTTCATATTGACATATAGAAGATTATGTTGACGTATGGTAGAGCTGTCAAATGAAACGCAATAATATAATCTTGAGTTAAATAAAGAACATGGATTACATGAAAAAAGATTAAACAAAAAGTTATTAAAAAACTGAACAATAATTTTTATTTAAATTTATATTATTGCACGTGTTATGAGTAACATGCATTTGCTAAATTAGCTAAAATCAATATTAATATTATTGATAAAATATTATAATCGTAATCACATACATAAAAATGATCCTAATCATATAATTATAATATTAATATGTTAGTATGTAATATGTTAATAACTCAAAACAAATATTATTTAATGCTTTTATTTACAAATTGTTTTTATACTTTCTATTTAATAAATAGGAAAAATTATTTAAAATGATATATGCTTTATCCATGATAACTCTATAATCCTAGTTTTAATCTTAGTACCTGACGTTGGTACCTTTTACTACTGACAGTTATGAAAAACATCCGTGTGTGGTAGATACTGTCGTCAGCAAAAATAAATAACAAATATAAAATAATACATTAATAAATATTCATCTGCCACCAATTTAAAAATACAATTAATTCTGAACACGAGAAGAAATTTTATTTCTACCTATGAGAATGTCATTTAAATATTATAATGTAAAAAGGTGAAAAATTATATGAATGACGTGTACCTTTCCCACCTGCGTGAAAGATTTGAATTTTGATTAGGACAGGTAATTTTGCCAAATTACCTTGATTGATCTGAGACAATATTATAGACCTTTATTATATAAGTCAGAAATAATTTTATGTGAAATTTACAGACGTAAACAAATAAAATGAAAGAGTTGCGCAAACGCCAAAACTATGAAGAGTCGTCTAATATGGAATGCGGCGATCATGCTTTGAAAAATGGAGAGATTAAAAGCCATAATAGTTTAAAGGGAGATAGAGCAAATATAGCAATATTATTTTTTCTATATTTATTACAGGGTATACCCTTAGGGCTAGCACATGCAATACCAATGCTTTTACAGAATCATGGTGTTAGTTATAAACAACAGGTATGAAATTAAATGACTTGCATGCATATAAGTTAGAAGTATGATCGATCGAGTTATAATTATAAATTAATCATCCACATTTTGCTATTCAGCATATATATTATTCCATTTATTTCAACATTCTCACAGATTAAAATAAAATAATTACTCACTCTTCTTTTCTTTGCTGTTTAATTCATGCTGTATTTTGCTTTATAACACCAGTTTATTTCATTGTAATTTGCACATTTTTCAGGCAGAATTTAGTTTAGTTAATTGGCCATTTAGTTTAAAACTATTATGGGCCCCAATAGTTGATTCAATTTGGTCTACAAGATTTGGTAGAAGGAAATCATGGATGGTACCTTCTCAATATTTAATAGGGGCTTTTATGCTAATCTTATCTGGAAATGTAAATAATTGGCTTGGCATTGATGGCACCGAACCAAAAATTGCCTTACTGACTGCAGCATTTTTTGTACTTAATTTCTTAGCTGCTACACAAGATATTGCAGTAGATGGATGGGCATTGACGATGTTAAAAAGGTGGACTAATATGAGTGTACCTAGAATAAATTTAAATTTTAATATTACTATTAGTTTCAATGAGGTGATTTAATACATTTCAGGTGCAATGTTGGTCACGCTTCTACATGTAACAGTGTAGGACAAACAGCAGGGTATTTTTTAGGATATGTTGCTTTTATGGCACTAGAATCTAAAGAATTTTGCAATAATTATCTTCGAACAGTTCCAAGTGTCGAAGGTTTAGTTACTCTATCAGGTATTAATTAAATTGTAAAATTAAATGAAGTCAAATATAGCAAACTTTAATTTATATTTAATTTCTTGAATCATGTTGATCCATAGGTTTCTTATGGTTTTGGGGGATTGTTTTTTTAATTTGCACAACCCTAGTGGCCTTATTTAAACGTGAAAATAATATAAGTACTGAGAAAGAAAAGGGGATCAGTTCTGGTCAGAGTATAAGCACCCAAGATTGCCAACCTGAATATGATATTCGACAAGCTTATTCACTTTTATACGACATTTTAAAATTAAAGCCCATTCGATCATTAGCAGTTATTTTATTAACTGCCAAGGTATTAGATTCAAAATGAATAATAAAACTGATCAATTGTGATGACTGTGAATTTGTCATTCTAGGTTGCATTTTCTGCATGCGATGCAGTTACTAGTCTAAAATTAGTGGAATCAGGTGTTCCTAAGGAGAAATTAGCTTTATTAGCCTTACCTCTAGTGCCGTTGCAGGTAATAAATTCTTTATTTTATACAAATACATGCAGTTAATGTATGTCGGGAGGCTTTTACTTTAAATATTAGACTTCAGCTCTTATAATTATCTTTTGGACAGCATCCATCATTATATATAATATATTACATTTGCAGATTGTGCTTCCATTAGCAATATCTCGTTATACAACTGGTAACCGGCCTATGAATGTTTATTTAGCTGCTATTAAGCCTAGATTAGTGTTTGGATTGGTAGCTGCTGGATTAGTGTATATAACACCATTAGTTTTAACGTCTGATGGACAAGTTCCATACTATTATTACTGTCTATTATTGATCAGCTATTGTTTCCATCAGGTAAAACATATATTTTATTTAATGTAATAAAAATATGTTTCATTCAAATATAATCCCCTTTTTTGCAGGTGACACTGTACAGCATGTTTGTAGCAGTGATGGCATTTTTTGCTAGAATTTCAGACCCATCAGTAGGTGGAACTTACATGACTTTACTAAATACATTAACAAATCTCGGAAATAGCTGGCCAGCAACTCTGTCCTTAGCATTGATAGATAGTTTAACTTGGAGAGGTTGTGATATATTACCAGATAATGGTTGTGATAGTGCCACTGATAAACATGTAAGTTGAAATGATATAAATTCATTCTTATAGTTTTATACTTTTATCCATCATAATTGTGGAAATCCTAAAAATATTGAATATTAATTTATGAAGTGATTTAAAACATTATAAAATTTTGCCTACTATGACATTGCACAATTAATGCAATAAGTTATAAGTTAATATAACTATATTACCTATAGTTACTTATATGTGCCAATACCAATACAATTTTTAGACATGTGCAGAAGCTGGTGGAACGTGTAATGTATTTCTTGATGGTTACTATGTTGAAAGTTTTGCTTGCATAGTATTTGGCCTGTTTTGGCTGAGATGGTGTTCAGGAAAAATAAAACATTTACAAAATCTTGATATCCATGCATGGAAAATAACTAGAAGAAAGTCAGGGAGATCCAGATAACATCAGAATATATTAAAAAATAATTGTAAATATTTATTTTATGTTACCTAATAACTATAAATGAAAAAATGATATCTATGACAGACACGCAAGTCACAAATCAGACAATTACAATAAAGTTTTATCAATCACTAAAAACCTGCATATTTTATAACTGACTTTTTAATCTTAGATATTATTAATATATTTTGTATTAAGTAATTAGTGAATAGCAAAGTACAATTTTATAATGTTTTAAAATATGTGGCACTGAGTGTTGTACAAGCTTTAATTTGTTGATATGTTTGTATTAAATACAAATTTCCTACAAATCATAAATTTATTTACTTCTTGGAAGAATTAGGTAAAAAACCAAGTGAAGAAGAATTAAGTATAAAACCAATTCAAATTTGTATATAAGCCTAAATATATATCTTTTTACATTCTAAAAAAACTCACCAATTGTGGTGTATTGATGTCCAGAAGCACCAGAAAAACAAAAGCAGTATAGCTCTTTAGATGGAAGCAGATTTTGTTTTTACATTAAAAAATATGCATGTTTTAAAGAAATCTCCAATATTTCTCTGTAAATATAAAACAAGGTAATAAAATTTGGAAATATTTCATTATAAGAATTTATAACCAAATTAATTTTATAATGATTACCTATACAGTACTATAAGATAAATAGCAATACGTCACAGTGAACTCATAGGCCAACAACAGAGCTACAAAGAATTTATCCATATTTCTGGTAGTATGAAATTCTACTGTTTATACATTTTTTCAAATAAGAATCAATAACAACATTTTATACAACTTTTTAGTGATATATTATCAATAGCACAAAAAATGTGTCTTACACACAATAAATTATGTTATTTCATATGATTAACTACAGGAAACATGCATTTTTATCGGACCTAGTTTTATTCTGCACCTATTAAAAGCATAAATCACGTTTTATTCTATTTGGAACTAAAAGTTTATTTTTTCATCATAAAAAATTTAAACATGGTATCAAAATAAAGTAGGCAAGTAAAAAATAACAAAATGCATGTTTCCCATTTTGAATACCAAATGAAAAATATTATTGTTTCACATAAAGTGTTAAAATCACTATCATAAATAATTAAGCAAATAACTTAACAT